ATCCCAGACAACAAATTTAAATTGTAATAAGGTTCTAGTAAAGTTTTATATTTAAGATCAATATTCTATTAACATACCATACTCTGTAAAATAATATTATTCACACTTTCTATAAATGTTTAAACTTCCTTTTTTGGCCAACTTTCCAACTTTAATACAATATTATTAATCTAATTTAAATATTTTCAGAACTTTATACTAAGATTTTTTAAAAACTTGAATAATGTACTTTTAACATTTTACCAATTTTATCAAAACATGATTATAATTTTAAAAAAAAATTGTAAGAAGTCAATTATAACCTTTTGGTACAATTAAGTTTTTAATAATTTTAGAACCATATATATATATATATATATATAATATATGTATTATTTATCATAATTATAATCAGTTTTTCTCTATTATATAAAATTATATATAGTACTCAGTAATCAATTATCATCAAATATATAATATAAGCTAAAAAAACAATTCACATTTTGAAAATGTAGTTTGAATATACAGAAATTCTGGTAGGTAGTTATATATAATATAGTAAATTTGTTTTTCTATCATATATATATATATTAAACACATCAATGCTTTAAAATAATGGTAAACTAAAAAAACACTAACAACAATACACGCTATACTAGCTACTGAGATTTTAATACACAAATCACTAATATATTGTATCAAATTATAATACATTATATTCATAAAAACAAAACAGAATTATAACTGGAATTATACAAAGGTTTATACTTTATGTATGTAAAAAAAAAATATTTATATTAGCATAAATATTGAATATTATTAGTCATTACTCATTAAAACAAAAACTTTCTTAAAAATAGGTATATTATATAATGAAACACAAATTTTGCTACCTGTAGGTTACCTTTTTACCTAATTGTTAATTTATACATATCAAAATAAAAATAATATAGAGTTTTAAAACATCAATCACTTATTGGACTACTTAAATTTTTTAAATTTTTTTGTCTTTAATACGAAATTTTGCATGAGAGAGCCATGTGGATATTGGTACATCAATTTCTTTGTCAAGAGTAGAGCTGAATTTTGGTTGAACTCTAATGACATCTGAAAAATTATTATTATCATAGAAATATTATACTTTTATTAATGAGTACTGTAATACATTTATACTAACCTAGAATAAGACGGTAGACCAAGAAATTAGAAAATCTATTTTTCTTCTTAAACCCCAGCAGAGAATAATTTTGAAGTAACTCATCAGAAAACATTCTAGACATCAAACGGCGTACACTATCGCCAACATTTTTAATGCCAACAAATAAAGACAATTTGGCCATCTACAAAAAAAAATCAAAATAATCAACTACAGCTATCATATCATAAATTATGGTATCAAATACAAATTAATAATCATACCACATTTAATTTAAAATCATTGTTCGATTTTAACTTGTCATCAAACTTTTTTAATTGATCTTCTGTATTTATGGGAAATATTTCACTTATATCCACAGACTGTTGAATGTTGTTTGACAAATTTAAAGAAGTTGAATGTCCAACATTTTTATAAAATGCTTCAGAGGATATATAATTTGCATGAATAGTAGAACTCATATTACTGATTTCAAACTTAAGTTTAGATAGTGAACTTATAACAAAAGCCTGAAATTCTAAATTATGACAAACAATTCTTATTTACATAAAAATAGATTTATAATATAATTAGCTAAATAATTAATGACAAATAAATAGTTTTGAATTAAGTATTTTGTATTATTAAACATATTACATTTTTGTAGTTCAAAAAGTTAGCTATAAGTATTAAATTTGATAAGTTAACTTACCAGCGTTAGACATCAATGGTTTTTTATTTGTATCAAACTCTGTTAAAGAATCCATGGAAAGTTTACCTTAAAACCATAAAACAAAATTAAATATTTTTAAAAAAAGATATTAAAATAAATATTAGATTAATAGGTTAGATATTGTATAATTGTTATTATAATCAACTATTTCAATAATTAATAAAACTATAAACTATATGAAATAATATTATTTAATATTAAACTATTGCATAGTTAATATATGAATTATATTATTTCCTTGGTGTCCCGACAATTGAGCACGCGACAATTGAGCGCAGACAATTGGGCGAAGACAATTGAGCGCAGACAATTGGGCGAAGACAATTGAGCGCGGCGAAAATTGGGCGCTGCGACAATTAAGCGCTGAGACAGTTGAGCGCTATAATATTTTACTAACTGCTGTACACGAAATGATGAAATTGGAAATAAATTTGTTCGCACTCTACGCACCTACGAATACCTATAAAACCTGTTAGATAATATTTATGTTTGATGATAATGTTATTACTTATTTTCGTTTCGATACAGACATACAGTGTTATTAAATCGTTTTTTTTTTAGAATAAAATTCCAACGACGATAATCAGCAGTCGATGTAGTTTCTTATCGCTGGATAATTTTACTGTCATATTTTCACACGTGCATACTGAGTACTGGCACACTGTGCATTCTCTTTTCGTTTTATACATCATTCAATTAATTGTATTAAAAATTTTAATTTTTTTAAATAACAAAATGGAATTTATTAAAAGTGAAAAAGGTCGAGACCTTCTTTGTTACAACGGATATTTATACAGATTTGACAAAAACAGTAGTTGGCGATGTATTGAATGCAATACGAAAAAATGTCGTGGTCGTATTAATTTGATGGATGGTCAAATAATTAGTGAAAGTGAAAAAGAGCACAACCATAAACCCGATATTGCAAAAATTGAAGCGAGAAAAGCAGTGCAATTTTTAAAAACAACAGCAAAACATACTGAACTTAGTACTCAAGCAGTTTTAGGCGCAGTGTCTTTACAGGTAAATATAATATAAATTTAATGTTATTTTTTTTTTTTGGTAAATATGTTTTAAAATTATTTTTTTTTCAATTACTATTACTATTGTAGATTACTGAAGCGGTTGCTGGTCAATTACCAGCAGTTGATTCAATGAAAAAAACCGTTCAACGAATTCGTCAAAAAGAATTAATGGCACCAGCAATTCCAGCTTCATTGAAGGAGTTGATCATTCCACCAGATTTTACAACAACATTAGATGGTAAACCGTTTTTATTATATGATAGTTACTCACAAAATCAAGAAATTCCACGCATATTAATATTTTCAACTACGGAAAATCTTGATATGATGGTTGATTGTGAACATTTGTATGTTGATGGTACTTTTTCATCGTCACCTAGTATTTTCTACCAGCTATATACAATTCACGGTGTACAATTTAGTAATGTTTTGCCATCCGTTTTTGCACTCCTTCCAAATAAAACTGAAGAAATATACATCCGTTTATTTAAAAAAATCCTAGAGTTAAGACCAGAATTGAAGCCTATTTCTATAATGCTAGATTACGAACAAGCTACAATAAATGCAGTGAAAAAAGTATTTCCTCAAACAGAAATAAATGGCTGTTTTTTCCATTTTTGTCAGTCTATATGGAGACATATTCAAAACACAGGACTTGCCATAAAATACCGTGAAAATTCCGAGTTTGCATTAAATATTAAAATGTTAAATGCATTAGCATATGTTCCCCCAGAGTCTGTTATTACTGCATTCGAAAACCTATTACAAACTGATTTTTATATAGAACATGAAGCAATATTGACACCTCTCTTAGATTATTTTGAAGACACGTGGATAGGTCGTATAAGTCGTAACAGGCAACGAAGGTCTCCAAAGTTTTCTATAAAATTATGGAACTGTTATGGGTTGATTAAAAATGATATACCAAGGACCAACAATGCTATTGAAGGATGGCATAATTCATTTAAATCAATTTTAAATGCAGTTCATCCATCAATTTGGAAATTTATCGACGCTCTAAAAAAAGAGGAAAAGTTGAATCGCGTGAGAATTCACCAGTTTGTTGCAGGTAATGAACCAAAATCAAAAAAAAAAAAATATAAAGATTCAGGATTGAGGATAAAAAATATTTGTGAACAATTCCATTCCCGATCAACTGAACAGTTTTTAAAAGGCATTGCTCAAAATATTTAATATTTAAACTATTTTTTTAAATTATTATTATTATTGTTGATATTGTATTATTAACCATACTATGACTTAATTTTTATTTTTCAAAATTATTATAATACATTTTTTATTTATTTATTATTTTTTTTATATATTGCGCTCAATTATCTTAGCGCTTAATTTTCGCAGCGCTAAATTGTCGTGCGCTCAATAGTCTTCGCTCAATTGTCGTGAATCCTATTTCCTTAGTTGACACGGGTTCAAAGTTCAATGATCTTTTAGCAGTCGATTCATTGTTATTTTTATAAAACCGTGGTTCAGAAACAGATTTGATATTTTCAACTCTCACTTTACCAATAGGAGACTGAATATAAGAAACTGATGTGTCATAAACTGAATCTAAATTTAAATAGTTAAATCATTGAAATATATACAAACAAAGAAAACACAATCATTATTTTTATCATCACTTGACATATTAGTTTCATTGCTCATATGTTTAATAGGGCTTCCACTCAAGTTTTTTTCTTTAACATAGCATAAATTATTATCTATATTTTCGATCATTATTTTTCCAATTGGAGACTGAACATAGGAAACAGATTTATTAACATCAACTGATGTGTTTGCTACTAAAAGTGGACTTGATAGTTGTCGCGAGCAGCTCTTAATATAAATATAATTTAAGAATTAAGGGTGCCTTCACGACCTTATAAAAATAAACAAAATGATAAGATTGCCTAAGTCGGCTGACAATGGTGTATAATAATATGTAACAATAATAAAGTACAATAATAATAAAAATGGCTTGCTGGCTCAATGCAAGTGTATAGTAATAATAATTTTGAGCCCGTTGGCTCAATGCAACAAATATATGTAATGAAATTAATGTGACAATAATAATAATAGTTTTGAGCCCGTTGGCTCAATGCAACAAATATATGTAATGAAATTAATGTGACAATAATAATAATAGTTTTGAGCCCGTTGGCTCAATGCAACAAATATATATAAAATTAATAAATAGTAATAATGCGGCTCGTCAGCCGTTTACCTGAGAGCTGCCATCCGTTAGCGGCTTCGAACCTAATGCTACCGCCTCGAGATGCACACGTTTGTACAATAAAAAAAATACAATATATATGTTACGGCTAAAGTCCGAATTAAGCTAATGTGCACATTATCCGGATAATGTACATATTATCCAATTTCGGACTTTAGCCGTGAATAAAAACTATTAGGAAATGGATTAAGTATACATTACCTGGCTAAAGTAACTTTAACCATCGTGTTATGGCTAATGTAAAATATTATTAATAAGTTCATAATATATATTTTATTTCAATAAAATTGATTAATATAAGTTAACAATTAAATATTAAACTACATTTGATGCAATATTAACTTTATTGCTATTTATTTTTATTTCTATTTATTAGATAACAATGACATTTTTTGCGATTTCTCTTAACGATTTTTTTGTATTTGACACCTCGTCTACTGTAATTAATGGCTCAGGACAAACATCAAATTGAGACCTAGAGTAATGTTGTTCTATCGTTCCTTCTTTATTACCTAGTTCATAGTATTCTCCATCTTTTATTGATACTACTGCAAACAGAATATTTCGCGGATCTCCTCTACCTCTATCCACGTCTGGTATGGTGACTCGAACCGTATCACCGATGCTGGCAGGTGGAAACTTATTAATTGACCTGAACTTCATTTTTTCAGCTTGATGTTGTAATGCTTTTATACTAAGGTCTCTTTGAGTCTTAACCATACTCTGAAAAGTTATAAAAATATTAGATATGTAATATCCGACAACGAGACTTGATAAACAGCCACGTGATGTTATAGAAATAGAATCAATTATAGTTATGGTGACCAGACGTACTCTTTTTCGTAGGACAGTAGGTAAATTATTATGGGCTAATACGTGTTTACTGTTAATATGTTTTTACTGTTTTTTATAATTTGATTATTAATTTATATTTTATGGTTCGACCTAAAGCATTATTATTAGTTGGTGGCAGAATTTGAGATATACTAAATCGTATATATTTAAGTTTTACACTTGGTATTTTTACCTTAAAAAAATAATTTATACTTTAGTTTAAGTTTACTTTAAATACATCAATATCAAAGTATTTTCATCATGAAGAATAATTTTACATATTATAATTTCAAATAATTGGTTTTTATAATTGATAATAATAATAAAATAAATAACTTATGGAAATATGGGTAAAACAAGTAGAATAGTATACGCATTGGGCAATTACATAAATTAATTTAAATAATAATAATTATAGTAAAAATTAATTTTGAAAATAAATTACCTCTTTTGTACACAAATTACAAATACGCTGTTGATTGTCATCTTCGTTTAATATTACTTGAATATTATTCCCACAAGACTCACATATTTTATGTATTTCTTCGTCCTACGAAAAATAAAAATAGTACCTTGTATAACATTTTGTAAATCGTATTATTTATGTATTCTTTATTATTTTTTCTATTTACCTGATTAGCATCTGCAGAATTGCTTTCTTCACATTTTCCTCCAATATTTTGCAATACATTTTCTAAATCTTCTTCTGATGATATATTGTTGATAGTTTCTGGTGGAAGAATAGACGTCGATAATCTAATTTTGATATCACTACCAAACATCGCTTGATATGGCGACCTTTTTATCCCACTGTGAAATGCTCTATTCTTCATTAATTGTACGAACCTCAAACCCTCGGACCAAGATTTTGAATTATTTGTTTGCATCCATGTAGTTAAAATATTTTGAATATCCTGGTTTGCCCTTTCAACACTACCTTGTGATTGGCTGTGTCGGGGCTTGCCGTGAACTATTTTCAAATTATTCCACATACATTTTAAATCATTAATTATTTGATTTACGAATTCTCTTCCATTATCAGATTGCAGTATCATTGGAGCACCAAAAATACAAAATATGTCTATGATATGTTTCGCAACCTCTTCAGCTCGTTTTGTTTTTAATGCTCTTATTTGAACAAACTTTGTAACATGATCTTGGTAGACCATAATAAAACGATATTCCCCGTCTGCTTGTGACTGCATGTCAATGAGGTCAACTTGAGCCCTACTATTCATTTCAGAGAATATCATTGGTTTAGTAACCAGACCTTTTTTTTTTACATTTTTGCTTCATTTGGCAAGGTTCACAATACTTTAAATACATTAATATAATTTCTTGTGTGATATTTTTATATTTTTTCTTTGTCTCGGCAATCATTCTGTGTTTCCCCCCGTGCCCTATATTATAATGGATTTCATGAAGAATATCGTACATACTTTCGTTTTGAACGTAGTAATAGATTGTTGAATCACCACCGTCTATAGGATAAATCAATTTGTCTTCTCCGTCAATAGTTATTACATCATATCTTTTTAAACGTCGGTAATCTGTGCTTGTTTTTTTTTTGTTTGATTTAGCGTTTTTAATTTCTAATATTATTTCAGAATATTTTTTTTGTGATAAATAAATCGAATTCTGTTTTTTTTCCGCAGTTAATTTATTAAAACACACGTAAAAATCGTCTTTTGAACTCATTTTATTCACATGTTACTTCGAACACAACTAAATTTAAACTGATGTTATAGGTACTCATATAGGTAACATCAAGCGATTACGATAAAGTTAAATGATCGCAAGATAAATGGTAGTACCTACTATCCTTATAGTTCCATTTTATCTTTGTATGGTTTTCACATCGTAAAAATAGCACCACAAGTAATTTCATATCTTACAATTATATAACAATATATTTTTTTGTACATTTTTTCTACCTAGTTACTTCATCCATCAATCAATGGATAATGTACAAAATAGCCGGTTAATGTACGAAACTATGATTCTAAATGTTAAGTGTTTACCTTATCCAACTATTGTGGATTATGTGCACATTATCCGGATAATGTGCACTTTAACCATGTTTCGGACTTTAGCCGTAACATATATATTAAAATGTGTGCAATCTCGAGAACGTGCGACTAACGGGCCGACAGCTCGGACGAATAACTCAATGACAATCACAAAACAATACAAGGAACACGTGCTTTTGCAAGTATGTCTCTGACCACCCTGAATGGGGAAAATAATTAGAAGTGCACAATGTAGTGACTATGAACGATACTTACAGAAGCGACTCACAACACAACGAAGACTGATAACGAAAACACATGAACGATGACAACTGATGAGCGGACAATTTACACGGTCGAATGTAATGTAGCAATGACTGAAAAACTGATCTACGTCTAGATGGAACACCTCACAGCTCGAGAGACGGCAAAGAACAAAAAAAAAGAACGAACGAATGCAATGAAAAATGAATACGGTTTTTACAAAAAAAACGAATGAAAATTGAATAACCAATGAAAAAACACATAATTCACGAAAATGCGATCAGTACCACCTTAACATTTAATCTGTTGAAATAAAAGCTTTCGGTGGCACTGAAAGCGTTGAACAACTTTATGAACACACTATAAATNAGTTTAATAGGGCTTCCACTCAAGTTTTTTTCTTTAACATAGCATAAATTATTATCTATATTTTCGATCATTATTTTTCCAATTGGAGACTGAACATAGGAAACAGATTTATTAACATCAACTGATGTGTTTGCTACTAAAAGTGGACTTGATAGTATTAATTTATCACCTACAAAAAAAAAAACATACACTGATAATCAATAACTGTAAAAATATAAACCTTAATTAAATCTATCATATTAATTTATTATTCTAATAGTTTTTGAATTAATGAGTAGATCTAGATTATAGAGGGAGGTATTTTTTTTTAACTTACAGTTTTCTTTAACACGGGGGGTGGTTAAAACATATTCTGGATCTTTATCAGAATCATACATTATTTCTTCATCAGATTCCCCACTTGTATTATTTGATATAAGCATCTTAAATTTTTTATTTAAACCTAGTAAATATAATATAGTATTAATACTTAATAAGTTGTAAAAATAATTAATCATATCATTTAGATATTAACATTTTTTTTTCACTAGTGTATAACAATAGGTTATTATATGTATACTATATATATTATAGTTAATCAAAATAAAATATAAATAAAAAAGTGTATATGTACTATGTTAACCTAATTGGTTAAAAATAAAAATTATAAAAGTATTTTTCTATTTAGTATCTACAAATTTAACTAAAAATATGAATAAGAACCTGTAGTTTTCAACATAGGAGGACTTGCGATTCTCTTGGATTTACGATTTTCTTTACTTTTGGTAATATGGATTTCTTCAGTGGCTGATAAGTCAGATAGATATTGAGCTAATTTGCATTTAGCACGAGCTGATTCCAAACTACCTATGGAGATTAATTTCAATGAACAATTAGGTATAGATTGACTAAATATCTTGTCAAATATTAAATTAGGTAATTTTTAAGTCAGTAATAATAATTAATAAGATATTATATAATATTTACTATAGGCATTTCCAAGTTTTCGTGCAGGTAACCATGAAAATTCTAGCTGGTTAGGAATAACTCTTTTTTCAATGCATCTTTTAATATGTTTTTTATCTTTTGGCCATGCACATGTATTTTTTTTTAGCCACGTATCAGGGACTGCTTCCACTGATTCATCATTAAAAAAATGAACGACAAACCACATCATAATTTTTTGTACTTCTAATTAAGTTTTCAAAAAAAAAAAAAACTAGAAAAAAAATGTAAAAGTAAATAAATATAAATAAGTTTGTTTATAATAATAAATTAAGAATAGGTATTATATACATTATAATTTATATACATATAAATTTATATTATTTATCGTACATGTACTTATTATTATGACACAGTAAAAAATATTGATAAAATCAACAAAAATATTTTATAGGACTTTATAAAATACTTAAACTAAAATAAATAATGAAAGTAAGACAACTTCTTACATAATAACATATTAACTTTACTTATAATTAGAAATTGGTTTTTGATTTAGTATTAATAATTGGTAAAGCAATTAACGAATTACAGTAGTTCAATAACATTATTTTGCAGTCAATTTGTGAACTATCTAAAACAGTAAAAATTTTTGAAAGATTCTTAACTATGTCAATATTAAATATATATGACTCTACTGGTTTTTTGTAAAATGTATGTTTTTCTTCAAAGATTCTACCAATTATTACTACATTGTCTTCGTGGGTATTTACAAAATTAAAACATTTAAAAACATCATTGCTTTTGGTCAAAATATAACAATCAGAATTATTTGAAACGTTTAATTTTATATTATTGCAGGTTGTAAATTTTTTGAACTGAGATCCACAAATATTTTCAAGTAATGGTCCACATTTATGAGGCAATGATAATTTATAATTTGGTGTGCAGCGTTGTAATGATGTTGGTCGTTGCTTATTATACATTTCTGAATATCTATTAATAATTTGTTCAAGAGGTTTTTCATGCTTGCGTATTTTTGATTTTAAATTTTTCATATAATTTTCGAACACAAAGGCAGAGCACTACATGTAAGGACATAAAATTAGTATATGCATCTGAAGAAATAATATCTTTAAGTACAATTGGACCAACATATAAAATAAATAATCTTAATTCTGTTGCCTTCCATCAACTAACTTCTTGTACTAAACGAGTTTTTCTAACAAAATCTGAAGGAATGCAGGACTGAATAGCTAGCAGTGCAGTAGATAATGCATTTATACTGCGGCCTGGTAAACGAACATTTAATGGTCCTTTGAACAACCACAACTGAATAAGTTTTTTGACTATACCCAAATTAACAATGTGCATATAATCTAATGGAAAACTTCGAATTAAATCAATGCCAGGTAATTCAGTGAGTTTAGAAATTGTTTTCCCAACATGATGCTCTTCATTTGACATATTTACATACATATCATGAGTTCTTTCTGCCGATTTGTTGTTGCAGTATGGAAAGCAAACTCTAGACTCACAATTCTCTCCTTCGTAAAGACATCGTGTGCATGAAAAATACCCAGAATGGCCCTTAATTTTTAAAATATATGATCGGGCCGGAGCATCACAAACAAAAGCATGAATTAAAACTTTTTTATTATGACCATGCACATTAATGCCATCAGTCAAAAGTTTTTTGGCTTCTACAATAAAATCTTCTAGAAAATCATTACTGTCATTGGGTTTAGACTTTCCATAATATATACCTACAGGAAAGACAGTTTTGTTAGTATCTGAACTAACTATGTAAGCTAAAATTGGCCACAGTTGATTATTACAACTCTTTGCAATGGGCAAACCATCTATACCAATAACAACTTTTATTTCAGTCATATTGTGAGGGGCAAATCGTTTATTTTGTTGAACCAAACCAAAATGATAATAATGACCTGGTTCAACAATACGGATTTGATTGTTATTTGATTTTGGTGTGTTTAAAAGAGTCCGACTATCTAGAGGAAGATTTTTGGTATGAATAACTTCATGTCCTTTCATTAATTTAAGCAACTTATTCAATGTAATTTGAGGAACATTACACTCTAATGCCCAAATACTTAAGTTATTTATAAAATCTTCACTAGCAGCATTTTCATGAGTAATTTTTTCATTAGAAGTTGAGAGAAAATTTCCTATATTTTTAGACTGATCATCAATAGAAACTGAGTAAGATGATTGTTCAATATTTTCGTTGAATAAAGTTGAATAAAGGGATGAATTTTCAGTGTTAGTATCTATAAGTATAGGATTGTTTTGATGAGCTTCAGCTATTGACTGCTGAATACAAGTTGATGATGCAGTTATTTGTATTATATCATCATTACATACAGGAATTTCCTCAATAATTTCATTACTGACATCATCTGAATAAATATTTTGAATTAAACTTAACTCTGCGTTCAACTTTCTTCTCTTAGATCTTTGACTTTTAATATTTGATGACATTATTATATAAAAATCTTAGACTTGATTGAGTTATATTCCTAATAGATACATAAATATAAATGTCATTTTGCTTTAGATTTATTCGAGGATTTATTACTGGCACAAAAATATATTTTACATACGTTAGGTACTATCTTAATATTAGTATCAATTATCAGTTGATATAGTTTTATTTTGTTAATTAATGATACAATTTATCAAACTCAATTTTAGTTAAAAAACATTCAATTTCATTTTTACTTTTACTTAAGAGTTAAGATATTTATTGTGTCAATATAATAGTAATAATACATTAAAATAATATATATATACTTTAAAAGTTATACTATAACTGGGTCCCTAATAAAATAATGCTCACAGCTCACTGTATTCATAAATTAAAACTAGGTAGTTTATATAAAATATAACTGCAACCAATAAACAAAAATAATAAATTAGATAGGTAGGTATCATTAATTTTTCATTTAAATTATTTATGCCGTTGATTAAAATTATAAAAAATAAATAAAATAAAGTTTCAGAAGAAAAGAAATAAGCTAGTGTTGTTCCACAACATATAATAATTAAAGCACTCAAGTAAACCTTATACTTTATAGTCTCAAATGGCAAATATTAAAATGATAGGTACCATTAATGATCGAATAATACAAAAGTTGATGTTAAATTCAATTATTTATTAACAGGCACACATATAAAACTAATATATTAATCATAATAATAAATATACGGACTATTCGGCGATTTTAATATTGATACTTAAATAATTATCGAATACAAGAGAAGCTCTCTGAAAAAAAGATTAACCAAAGCTCAAATTAGGGACCATAAAAATAACTTGCCGGACCTCATGCATTAACCACAAATCATAATGACAGACTAACATTGAGTCTCTAAGTAAATAAGTAATATAAAACTTTAAAATATTAGGTTAAATGGTATAATAAGTAATATTGTATATTATCTATACTTACCCGTTGGCAGTAACAAATTTAAATTGGTATATTTTACACATTAACAATAATAACACGATAACAGGACGTGCCGTTTAAATTAAAACTATAAAAACTTTAATATAAACTAGAATTCATTTGCTAGTGGCTGAAAATACGAGCTGAACACGATGTAAATATGTAAATGCCGACTAAATGGTACAGAGGTAGGTCGTGTGGTAACGCCAGTAACGGAATAAAACTTTGTAGTGAACCGTTCCCGTTAGCGTTTAAAAGCAAGTCTGCTAGAAACTGGAACGCTGGTAGTGTAATGCGACGACAATAAATGCACAGATAACACAGATATGGGTTTTCCATCAATTTTGAAATAATGTTAACTCGGCCTACGGGCTACGGCTATATATTTACAATAATATACTAATAGATAAGAACAGACTGTGTATAACAATAATAGCATTACGAGCGTCGCGCAAACATATCGCAGTGATGTAGGCTGTCTTAACGACAAAATACAATTTTATTAGTATAACAGCTATAACCTAACCTATCTTTTTTTGTAGTATAAGGTCTATGGCATTGGCATATTATAATAAATAATAGTATAATATACTCCGTAACTTAACCATTGCGTAACATAACAGCTATAGTGCGATACATTTCATAAAAAAAATTTTCAACAGCATATACTGTTAATATATTAGACAAATAGACAATGCTTATAAATTTGTATTATATTTAGTAGCATGATATAATAAACTAGGTATGATATCAGCGGACGTATTTATGTTTTCTGTTGCGCAAATATGGCGCTGGTCTTTCGCCAATTTTCATTGGTTTAAATATTATTATAATATCAAACTTTTTTGGCGGTATTTTTTGTTTTGGAATTTAATCATGATTAAATTATCACATTAAAAATATTCAATTTTTGATTTAATAAATTTTAATAAGTACTTCTGCTATTAAATATTTACTAAATTATAATTTATAATGCCAGTTTGTGTATTTGAAGGCTGTATGAGCGGCAGCAAGCAAAAAAATTTAGTTAAACCCAAAAATGTACACTTACATAGGTTTCCTAAAGATGTAAATCTGAGGAATAAATGGTTAAATCAAATAACACGGGGTTCATCTATAAAAAATGTTAATTTTGAAAAAGGTATGTATAGTAGGGGATCAGGTAAGAGTACAATGTTACAATGTAGTGATTATTATACAAATATAATATAATTGCATGCATGAGAGCGTGCAAAATTGAACACTTACAGGCCTATTTTTCCTTATAAGCGACCTACAGTTTACTTGGTACTAAATAAAATACGATTTATAAGATTAACACCTGATATTGTAAAATCAAAAGAACTTATTATCTGTAAAAAAAACTTTTATTTTAAAATATGCTGTAGCTGTTGTGTGTTCATTACATTTTGGTCCACAACACATGGTGGAAAAGCCACTTGTGTTTGATGGTATTGCCTCACCTAAATGTGCAAGGAGATTAAAACATGATGTTGTTCCATTAAGGTATTTAGTATACTATCAAAACATTGGTAGATATTTTAAGTTTAAATTTATATCTAGTATAAATGGGCATGAATATTCTTCACCAATTAATTGTCCACATTCATTAATTAGTACTCCAAGTGGAACGTTTAAAGTAACGTCATCATTAGATGATAATTTATGGTGTGTATTACTTAATATTATTATGTAAAAAGGAGATTATATGTCAATCATTTTCAATTCCAGCAAATCAAATGTATTGTCGTTAAATAACTCAACTCCTTTGGAAGTAAAGTGCAAAAAAAATCTATTTGACATTGATTGTGACGATGGAATAACATTTTTGCCAGATGACAGCATTCTGTTGCAGCCTGTTGATGACGATAATTCCAAGTAAAATAATACATAGAAAAATGTAGCAATTGTTCTATGTATTTAGTTTGTTCAATGTTTTGGGTGTTATTTATAAACAGTACATGCATGCATGTATTAACTCAAATGTATTTGTGTTAAGTTATTTGCATCTAATTAGTAATTTATTCATAATTGTTTCTGTCTTAACAAGTATTTTATGTTTAGTTATAAAGGTCAACACAATCACATCCACATAGTCACCTCAAGGGATATCTCTTCTTTATCTTAAATGTTTTTCTTATACAAAAACCTATATTCTTTAACAGGTTATTCATGTACATCTTTACTTTTGTGTAGTTATGAGTATTAATTTAGTTTTAATTTTTCTTAATTGTCTGTTTTAATAAAAATGATACATGCTTACAGAAAAAAAAAACTGTATTATTATTTATTATCATATATCTATATTTTTATTTATTTATATATATATTATGCCAATTGGCAGTTAACAATGATATATACATATGTAGGCAATAACAATTAAGTAACAGTAATAAAGCTTTAAAAAGCTATAACAATAACAAAAAGTATACAAATAACATAAGTAGCCAACACAACTAAGGCACATTTAAAATTTAGATTAGTTATTTATGAGCATTCTGTGTAGTGGATAATTATAAGTTATAACCATAGACCGTATAGTGGTGCGGGACATAAAACTGGACTAGGTTTCGTGTTCCACAGGTAGGAACTTTGAATGGAATTTTAGTATGTATCCAGTCTTATAATTTGTTATGATTATCAAAATTAAAATAGTATTTGAAACAATTGATTGAACGTTTCAAATAATATTTATGGTAAAAAAAATATTTTTACATTGTCTGTATTATTATATGCAGTGATGTAATTCAATTACTTAAATTGTATGAAGCATGAGGTATGTTTTATTTTAATATATTTAGATTAAGAAATGAATTAGAGATAATTAAAAAAAAAAATGAGGAACTCGTCAAAACAAATGGCGATTTGAAAAAATTAGTTATTGAACAAAATAAATGGATCACTTTGGAGGCATGCAGGTTTGAAAATAAGTTTAAAAACCATTTATCAAACATGTTTTCACCACACCAAGCAGAAATGATCTTAAATAAAAAAAAAAAAGTGGCCAAATGGGAACCAGAAGACATTGCATCGGCTATGACTTTGCGAAGTATATCACCTAAGTGCTATAGATATCTAAGAGATAAATTGGAGTTTCCGTTACCAGGTATTGTATGAGTACCAAATACCAATTAATTTTTTAAATCATAATAGATTTGTGTAAAATAACTTTCCTTAGAATTTATAAAATACAACTTTTTAAACCAATCTGTGCAAATAATTATAATTTTAGGTTTATCAACATTGAGACAGTGGGCAGGGAAATTTAATATGGACAAAGGTATTTTGAAAGATGTTCTTATGCTTTTGAAAAATATAGGAAAATCTTTATCAGAAATGGACAAAGTGACAGTAATATCATTTGATGAGACTTATGTTTCACAAAAATTGTGCTACGATAAAAAAACGGAACAAGTTTTGGGTCCATTTAAGTGTGTACAAGTAATGATTGCCAGAGGTGTGTGGTTTGAAATTTGAGTATTAACATATCAATTATGACTGTATAATAGTTATTTGTTACTTTCATAGGACTATTTTCCAAATGGAAGCAACCATTATACTATGACTTTGATTCACCCATGACTCAATTATTATTGTTCGACGTTATAAGTCAGCTTCATGCCTGTGGTTTTGAGGTAGCAGCTGTTGTTAGTGATATGGGGCCTACAAATATTAGGCTTTGGAAAAGTCTCGGAATAACACCAACAAAGACATCATTTAGTCATCCTATATCTGGAAAACAAATTTATATGTTTGCTGATGTACCACACTTAATGAAATTAGTGAGAAATCATTTCATTGATAGTGGATTTGTTTTGCCAAATAATAAGTACATTGGGAAACAAGTAATACAAGAGGTAGTTAGTTTGAACAAAGGGGATTTAAGTTGTGTACACAAAGTCACTGATCGACATCTAAATGCAGTTGGATCACAGCGACAAAATGTAAAACTGGCAACACAAGTCTTGTCAAATTCAATGGCCAAAGCAATATCCTATTTAGGGCAAAAAATTTTATTGCAGTTCACTAATTGGAAAGAAGTAAATATATACTAATTAACTACTAATATTACTTATATTATTCCACATTTTTAATATTTTCTAGACATTTAAAATAGACAATTTTCAAATAAAAAAAGAATATAATATGACAAATATTCTTTCTATTTTTTTAGAAATATTTATTTAAAATAATAATTATACTGTTACTATAATTAATAATTAATAACATATATCTAATTAATACATAGGCATCAACAGTAATTAAACTGTTTAACGATTGGTTTGATTTGTTAAACACACAACTACCAAAAGATAAATTTACATTATCTTATGGACTTGACATCGATAATCAAAATAAAATATTATCTGAAATGAATACATTTATAGAAAGTTTGAGAGTTCATTCCAAAGGTAAACCAACCACAAGTTTAAAGCCATTTCAAAAAGGTAATTACTAAATACATTTCTCCATATATACAAAGATCAATTAAATACGCCATAATCACAGAAAATCGAAATACCGAATGCTCTGATGAGGAATGTTTAGTTGATTGTTTGTCAGCAGTTACTATTAATGAGGCTGAAATTAATAGTAATAATAACATGGATGAATGCAGACAAATGTATTTCAATGAAGAAATTGCTACAATAGAGTCACATTTTGGATCAACTGAAACTTTTGATATACCTGAGGAAAATATAAATTTACTACATCAGTTTGAATCATATGTAAATAAATTTAGCTAATATAGTTTATAACACTTACCTATGTGTCCAAATGTACAATTGACCAAACAACCAGTAATGTTAAACTTAATTATTTTAGGTGAATCCAGTTAATGAGTTAACTGAATTAGAAAAAGACTGCATTGAATATGTAACAGGGTATGTTGCAAGTCGTTATGCTACCGAATATCCATGGCTATGCAATAAAGAAGTTTGTGGCTCTTCATGGATACAACATATTTCAAGAGGAAATTTAACAACTCCATCGCCAATCTTGTTAAAATGTTCAATGATCTTAGAACATCTCTTCAATAATTTTCATGGCAAAGATTGCATAAATAAAGAGCCAAAAGTTATGACAAAGGTCAACAATTTATTGATGAATGAACTACAAAAAGAAAATTTGAATCTACCAGTAAAAGTAGTCGAATGTTTAGTGAGAACACGTACTTTCATTAGATTGAATTATTTAAATAAAATTATTCTTTCAGCAACTGCAACTCAAAAAAACGAAAATTCTAGAAAAGTAAAAAAGTTTCAATAAAATAAAATTTTTAAAATACCTATAATGTAAAATACTTACTTATTTCTTTGTTGTCTTTTCTAATATAATTAAATATTGTTCGATTATTAATTAATATAGGTACATAACTACATAGGTAAGTAATATTGTTCGTAAGTATTAGTGCTTAAATCATTGATAGATGAATAATGGTATTGATCTACTCAATTAGTACTCATTTTTAATTTATATTATTAAGCTAAAATTCCACAATGAATTTTAATATTAGAAAATAGAAAAAAATTAAAGAGGTAAAGTATAAACTACTAAACTATTTAGTATTTTGATAATTCGAAATTGAATACAACAGTTATCACTTGTCACAATAACCTAGACAACCAATGAGAAATGGCGAAAGTCCAGCGCCATGTTTCATTTAGCAATCGGTCGGCGGAAGAGGGGAGTATGCGTATCATAAAATGTGCATCATACCTAGTTTATTATATCATGTTTAGTAGGTAGTTTCTTTCGCGGCTACGCTGTACGCGCAATGCGTTGATTCCAAAAATATTCCATCATTATTCATTCTATTACTTTCGATGACCATACTCGACGCGTATGTTGTTTAATTTTAGTCGTATCACCGCGGTTATTATTATTATACCATAAACAACTACGACGACGTTTCTAGATTACAGTTCGCTATGAACAATAATAATATCTATATACCATAATACAATAATAATCATATATAAAACCACGGTATATTTAATATGGTTATTAGGTAGGTACCGTGTACAAAACTAAACTGCAGCAAAATAAAGATGATTTTCTTATAAAAATATATATTATATTAAGAATACGATTGTAAAAAAGTTCGTAGAACATTTAGAATTAAATGTTATTTTAAATTATTTATTTATTTTTCAGGAAATGTTTTTTAAAAATTATAATCAAAATATTATAAGTTTAACTAACTTATAATATACTAACAATATTTGCAAAATAATATTATATTTTGTTAGTAAATGTATGTTATTATAATATTTTTATGTAATTTTAATTTTAATATTATAAAAATACTATACTAAGAACGTTTAAGAAATATTTTAGATTTAATATTACTTTTTAAAGATTAAATAACATTATAATAACATAACAATTATAATATTCACAATTTAATCGAGTACTAAAGTTATAATAACATTTATGTTACGAAATTGTTGTCTGGGAAGAGATCATGTAAACTCAAGACGATTGAAGAATTTAAATTTCTCAGTTGGCCTTCTCTTCCTTAAAAAAATGATCAGCAGAGAATTCCCAAAGAAAATATTAAATATTAAAGAAGTTAGATTGGACCTGACCGTTTTAAACGGTTAACCAGACCGTTTGAAACGGTCTATTGGCAGCCCGTGGTGGGTAAGTTCAACCTCAACAGACCGGCAATCAGTCTGTTTTTCGCTATCGTCGAGGCCTAGGTAACATCCCGTCCGCCGATACAAAAACCACTACCACGCACCGAACGATCCTAGCTGTTTCACTCAGTGAATGTTTTTCGCGTAGCCCACTAGATAGTGTTTGTTTTCTTTTTCGGTGATACCACCAAACAATATACTGAACTGTACAAACGTACATCAATAATTGTGTTCGTTATTCATTACTCCTGACTGTGTCCTCGTCATTCACGAGCTGTCTCACCCCCTCAACATGTCCTCAACATCCACGCGGCACCCCACTGGTCCGCATCAGACAATAATCAATAATCTTCATAGATGTACTAAGCTGGGTGCGTATTCCAACAGCTAAAACAGGAAATCTTTTTTTCCATACTCCAAAGACCCTTTCAACAACATTTCTTGTACTAATATGTGCTCTCTGTAAACATTTTTATATGCATCATCCTATTTGTATGCTTAATTTATGCATATATTCAAATTCTCGTTTTTGGAATTTTAAATACATCTGAAAACAATATTACTTGAGATTGTTTGTACCCCTTAAAGATAGTAAAAACTTCTGTTTTTCAAATAAGAACCACTTTTTTCATTTTGCATTAGATTTTCAGATTTTTTGAATGAGTAATTTTTCCAGCCCACTTCTGTTTTATATCTTTATGCCTAAGTAAAGTTAAGCCCTCCCACATAGCAATTCCGTAATATTTATATTACAATAGGGCCCTTTAGACGAACGATTTTTTTGACGCGATTGGAATGTGGCATTCCAAACTCGCGAGAAAGAGTGCTCGTTTAAACGTAATTTATCCCACAGGCTTAGATCGTGAGTATTCTGTGCGGTTTATCCTTGAATCTTGGAGTGTTGTTTCATTTACACGTACATGGTTTCTCCACACGCCAAGCATGCAAGATAATGAACTATCGATATAAAGCAGTTATCGATATAAATAAATAATCGATATATGTAAATCATCGATCCCGATTGTCCAGATATCACACTATCACACATTTGTTATCACACTTTTTGTTTCAAACTGACGAGTGCCGACTGTTCAAATAACGAACTTTATTATAAGTACTAAAATTGTATTCTAAAACGACTACCTAACAGCTAATAAGTAATACTTGTTAATTACAAACTTGTGTCTAGTTAAAATGAGTGATACCAGGTATTGGTCGAAGGAATTTACACTACAATTTATAGAGTTGTATAAACAGTATCCTTGTCTTTGGAAAATAAAAAGTAAGGACTACATAAACAAAAACTTGAAAAGAGAAGCTTATGATGAACTTACCAAATTTTGCAAAAAAACAATCCCTGAAGCTAATAAAGATTTTGTCATAAAAAAAAATTCAAAGTTTTAGGGGTTCTTTTAGGAAAAAACTAAAAAAAGTTGTCGACTCAAAGAGATCTGGAGCCTCATTCGACGATGTATATGTTCCTACACTCTGGTAATTACATATTATAATATCTTTACTAATAAACATATACTTTTGAAACGACCTACCTACTGTGAATTTGTTCAGGTATTATGATCATTTAGTTTTTACTATTGATCAGGAGCTACCAACAGAAAGCATCTGTAATTTAATGAATACTGTAAATTCTGTTGAAAATGACGATGATGATGCTTCACAACAAGTATTAGAAACTGATAATATTGAAATATTGGACGAGGTAAATAAAAAAAAAACATATTTTTTGACAATTGTCAGTGTTTAAAGTATAATTTATGTACAATACCTAGGTATATACTTTTAAAAAATGTCATACCATAAATATAAACTTTTTATTACCTACATTTAAATTATATTTATTATTTAACAATTCATAATTATGTAAAAATTCTGTTTTAGTAAATAACAAAAACAATAAGGTATATTTTAAATTTATGTATTAAAGTTATCGTTATGTAAACCTTAATATTATTCTAATTCATTAATTCATATGTGAACTACATACAACTATAAAAGTGATAAATTTATATCTACAAAAGTAAACTAAGAGATGTTTAAGATGAAAATAATAGCAGCTAATCTGGAGGTGAAGATAAAAAAGATTTTACATGATAATTATGTCTAAGGTCATCTGATTTTTATATATTATAAATACAAATAAGTTAAACATTTAAAATTATTAGTATTAACAGTAACAAAAATTACTAACTACATTTTTAAATGCAAAAAAAAAGTTTCTTTGAAAATAGCTATATTTTTGTTCTTAAGCTCTCCCTGCACTTATCATTTGTTCTTGCCATTCAACAGCTCCAGTAGTATTGAAATATTCTTTATATCTGTCCCTATTTTCTTTGGCAGCTGTGGATATCCTCGTGATTCGTTGATGCTGAAGTTGAGGAAGATCAAAAATTGCTTCCCTCACTCTTCTATCAATTATATTTTTATGATTATCTTTGTCTAATGTTGTATTTGGTGGTAAATATGAAGCACTACGTTGTCTCAAAAAGTTGTGGAGTACACATATGGCAAGGACTATGTACTTAGCTTTTTCAGGGTTCAAATTAATTGCATGATGCAGTACACGAAATCTGGTGGTAATTAAACCAAATGTATTTTCTACACAATTTCTTGCTCGTGAAAATCTGTAGTTGAAAATTCGTTTTTCTTTTGATAAGTTTCTTTGTGGAAATGGCTTAAGAATATGTTCTTGAAGGGGAAATGCATCATCAGCTAGAAAAACAAAGTTCAAATTTTCATTGGTTTCATTGTTATCTGGAATATGAAGTTGGTTATTCTGCAGTCTTCTATAAAATTCTGTACATTCAATTATTCCTCCATCTGATAACCGCCCATTTTTACCAACATCTACATAAATAAATTCATGATTGCTATTTACAATAGCCATAAGTACAATACTATAAAAGCCTTTATAGTTATAGTATTGTGCACCAGAATTGGCTGGTTGTACTATCCGAATATGTTTCCCATCTATAGCTCCTCCAGCATTAATGAATTGCCATCTATTTTTAAATCCATTTGCTACATCAATCCATTCTTGTGCTGTAGATGGAAACTAAAAATAGATAATTTAATGAAATATTTTAAAATTTGTGTAGGTATTTAATTTATGTTATATTTAAATATTGTATTATTATTTTAACTTGAAAAACAAAATAAATTTTAAATCAGTACATTTAAAACACATATGTTATTAATTGATGACTATCATTTAAATAGTTCTCAATTTATTGTTTTTTTAGGTAGGTTTTAAAATAAACACAAACAAAAATTACAAGTTTTTTTCAAAACTATAAAATTTTTAAGTTTATTATGGTTTGTTTATACATAGGAACAAGTTTCAACTTTTACTGTTCCATGTAAACCTTCACCAACACCCTCAAAAAGAAAACGAAATTCTGCAGAACGGAGTGCAGAGTTTATGAATGCTTGTACTACTGCATTAAATAAAGATGTAGAAATAACTGAGTATGATGCTGTTGGAATAAACGTTGCTCAAAAACTTAAGAAAATGGATCAAAAACAGAGTATTTATGCTGATATGCTAATTAGCAGAATTTTAGGACGCGGGTTGTTAAATTCATTAACTGCCCAAACAGATCTTTTTGAAAATAAACCATATCATGGAACCATTCCAATGCAGCAACCTATCAGTATAAATTCACTTAGCCCTGTAGAATTATCTCAAAGTTCAATTTCGAGTGACTATCATTTGGACCCCAATAATATGTTGTTTCATCAGTCTGGCAGTGTTTCACAACAACCATCAAATTTTATTAATGTAATTTCTGAGTCTTTAAATGAGTTGAACTAAAATTATACATTAAGTTAAAGATTACATTTCATTGTTATACTTTATTTTATTTTTAGTTTCAAGTCTTTCCTATGTTTTCGTTTATTTTTTTTTGTAATTAAAAGTTATTTAATATTTACTATG